GGGAGTATGAATTAATGGAAGGAGTTATCAATAAGAAAATTAATTAAGAATAATAAGTATAATATTTAAAAAATAATAATAAATAAAACAAACGGGTCAACCCGTCAACCCACGAGTTAACCCAAACCCAACCCGCGGGTTGATAATACGGGTTATCTACAGGTTGCAAGTTGGGATATGTAGACCCTAATCCGTTTTTACGAGTCAGGTTAGGGTCGGGTTAACAGGTCGGATGGATTTTTGCCAAGTCTAATTATGACTAGTTAGCTGACCTTACTGGATAATAGGGATATCAAGGCAAGCAGATTTCTCCTTTATAAATTGGACTATGAAACTAAGAGAATACACAAAACTGTTCAATAGGGCGCAAGACAGTTGATTTGGGGAGGATAGTCTACCTTTGAGTTGTGTTAGTTGTGCAAATTAGAAATGGTTTGCTAATACATAATGTTAGTAAACCTTGTTAGGTGATCCTATTTTGTAAGGTGTTTTGATGTGAATATGTAGAATACTCCTTGTACTTCATCAATAAAAGAATATTTTGCTATTAAAAACAATAGCCAACCCCAAACCGAAATATTGAAGAATTGAGTCCAAAATTACTTGCTATATACTTTGGAGATTACTTGGAGCCTTGTTTTGCAAAAGCAAAGAAGAGCAAGTTTGTTGGGGGAAAAAGGAGATTTTGGTGATGGCAAATGTACTGAGAAAAGACAAAAAAAAAGGCGGAAAGGGGAAAGAAGATGCAAGAAGATGAATGTGAGAGAGATCGGGATGTTGAAGGTGAATTTAAAGGTATTCTTGTCATTTATGATGTAATCATTTTTTTTCTTACTTTTCCATTTAAGCATATTTTTTTATCAATTAAGTCCCTCATTTTCCAATGTCATCTTTGTTTTTTTTTTGTCCAAATCAACCTTGAAGTTTTTGTTTCTTTTCTATGTTAGCATATTAATTTAAATTTGAAGCTAACTTAATGGAGAAACGATGCCACATCAACATTCTATCAATAAAGGGCTCAAAAAAGGGTTGGAAAAATAAATTTTAGGGACTAAAAGGAGGCTTTTTCGAATATAGGGATCAAAAGGGGCTTTTCTCTAAAGTATAAAAACCAAAATGGGTTTTAACCTTCTATTTTTGAAAGTTCCATTGTAGACGCCCTAACATACCCCAAACAAATTGAGACACGTCGACGAATGTATTTTTACGTGGACAACTTTTGTCTGACTTATCATTTTTTTTAGGTATAATTTTTACATAATATCTAAATTAAAAAATAAGAACCAAAATTTTCTATCAAGTTAAAGTCTAATGTTAGCAAAAGGATCGAATAGTGCACAATTCATGAGTTAAGATACTAACAAAACTTAGTTTAGAAAGTAAAATTGTGCAAAATTACAAAATTCAAAAATTAAAATTAACATTAAACCTTTATTTTCAATGTTAGTGTTCTCTTAGTATCAAAATCTAGAAATGATGCCACTGCCTTAAATGAAATCTTTTTGATAGATAAACATTAAATAAGAGTATACAAAGGCATGTTTTCCCACGTTATTAGAAATACATAACACAATTGATCTCCTAAAAGAATATAAATGGACTCAAAAAGAGGACTATTGAAGCCAAGCCCTATTACAATCACAAAGCTTCACTTAATAACGATGTGGATACCCTCTGCTACATGGGTATTGTTGTTGCTTCATTAACCCAAGATTTCCTTGTAGCCCATCTCTCTTATACTGTTCCCACATCATCTGCTCCTCCACCAATAGCCTCTGCTTCTTTTCCATGTCTGATATTTGCACGAATGATGGAGGTGCCACTGCAAGCGATGCTGCAAATGGATCCACGATAGTAGTAGCTGTCACTTGAGTCTCAGATGTTGGAGGTGCTGGTAATGCAAGAATCGTAGGGCTTCCAGCTGAACCGAGAGCAGCGCTACTAGCACTTCCAGTGGTTCCATACCCTAAGGTAGTAACATTTGCCCCTTGTTGATACATCCCATTAAGCATTAACATGTCGAATCCACCAGCCATTGCTACTTTTTGATTTGGGAGGTTACTTGCTGACTGAACGAGTGTCGTTTCCCAATCTGTTGTATCATCATTGAAGGCTTGCCATGGCAAAGCTGGCACTGATCCTGCTATTGTTGTAGGTCCAAGACTATCAAATAGAGCCAATGCTAATTTATCTGTATGCTCTTCTGATGTCATTGCATCTACTCCTAGGTTCAATAAATCATCTTCCAATCTTGAAAATTTGTAATCTTCTAAGTTCTCTTGCTTTATCTCTTCTATTTCTTCTTTAATCGTTGGCTCAGTCATGACTTCTGGTGGTGGCAATGCCTTAATCGCATTCATATCTTCTTCTATTGGTTCCGGTTCTTTCACCTTTGGCTTAGCTTCCTCCTTAACTTCAATGATCTTCCCTCTTTGCACCAAAACTAATTTGTCTTGGATAAACTCATCCATGAGATCGAGCTTATTTTGTGCAATCTTCTCCACTTCTGGGTACTCTGAAGAACGTCCCACCCCAACAGTTTTACACCAGGAGTAGAACTGACTGAGCTCATCAAACTGTTTTGTTACCCGACAGAATATTTCATATACTTTAACTGAGTATGAAATCTCTAGGTCCGCGATCCGGTCAATTAAGATGCCTAGAATCTCTGTTATGTCATAATATATCTGAAAACTTTCTTTTATTATTGGGTATAGAGCCACCATCACCACCCTGTCATTTTTCGCCGAACCTATATCTCTCCAATATTGAAACATAATAGAATATTTTAGTAAAAATAGAGCCCAAATTTCATGGTTTACATGAAAATATACTTAAATCCAAAGATTTTAGAAATTAAAAATATATGATCTTCTGGATTGTATGATAAGAGTTGCATATTTATTTGTTTATCTATTTTTCTCAAAATTTATAGGTATAAGATAGTAGAGCTCAAGTAAGCACAAATATGAAAATAAATTGATTTTAATTTTAGTATTTCCTTCATTTGACTTTTGTAGTAAGCATATTTTTTTTATCCAATAAAATAAAGACATATAATAATTAATCAATAAAATTTCCAATTGTCTCCCAGATTAATTATTATTTAAATAAGTTTTCTCATTAATAGATGTTGTAAATAAGTGCATTAAATGACATATTAAAAAGAAAAAAATAAACAATTAAATTTAAATGTTGCAAACTAAAAATTAAATTTATTAGAATTGAATAAGAGAAAGTAAATATCAAGAAAACAAATAAGTATTACAATAATTAATGTAAATCAAATTGAATATTTATTTGAGAGTTAAAGTTTTTAAAAGTAAATTGAATATTTTATTACGCTTTAATATTCTTAATAGGTATATTTCTTATAATATATAAAAAATATTATTTGATATTTATGGGTTTGGGATACTCCTTGTACTCCATTTATTAATAAATATTATTTTTTGTTGTTCAAAAAAAAAAAGAGGTATATTTCTTATAAGTTTGTTGTGTATTTATTTGAAATTTGTTAAAAACTCTTTTGATATTTATTTGAGAATTTTTATAGAGAATTTTGCTATTATAATAGTTTTATATATGGTTAAGATAAGATTAAAAATTAGTCAAGAAAACATTTTAAAATTACATTATTTTAGTAAAGCATCACGTAAAAAGACCAAATTAAATAGTATTCATTATCAATTTAAAAATAAGTTATTTTAGTTTTTTAATGAAATTTTATTAAAACAATATAGTTGTAAAGTATTTTTTTACTTAAATTTTTTATAGGTTTGATAGATAAATAGTTTTATATGAGAATAATGCATGTGTAGTCCTAATTCAAAAACACTATCCCCAATGAATATTTTCAAAAACTAATTATTAGATTGACAACAAAAAAAAAAAAAAGAAGAAGAAACTATTGAATCAAATGATTTATTTCTGTAGACCATATGTATTAATTTTCAAGTTGATTTAATATTTATAATTATTCAATCAAAAAATTAAAATTTTAAACTTATATATTTAATAGTGTATATTTTTTATAAAATAAATGAAGTAGTTAGATATATTCAATTAATATAAAAATTAATATGCAAGATCTGCAGTAATAGACTATTAAATCTAGCAATTAGTTTTTCAAAAAATTAATGAAAGGATGGTGTTTCTGTGTTGAGACTACATGAAGTCAAGACAAACATACACTAACTCATGAACATTTTGAAAAATTAATTATTGGATTTAATGTTCTATTCATATAGAAAATACAAATCAATTTTCAAGTTAATATGATATTTATTATCATTCAATAAAAAAATGTATTTTATGATGACATATATTTGATGGTGTTAAATTTTATATAATTAATAATTTAGTTAGATATATTCAATTAATCTAAACATGAGTTGAATATTAAATTTAATGCTTAATTTTTCAAATATTTATTGGAGATAGTGTTTTTGAATAGGGATTCTATGAAATTGGGGCTAACATGCCCCGTTAATTCTTGCAATTCCTTTTTCAGAAAGAATCATATAAATTTATGAAGATTTTAAAAAACAAAAGTGTGATATTTTAGTCTTGACTTACCTCATCGCTCTTGAATTAATTATAATAAAATTTAAGTTAATTATTCCACTCAAGAAAGATTTATTTATTTACAAATAATTATTTTTTTTTAAGGTTGTGTGGGGTTGTTGCATATTAATACTCCTTGCCAGTTATGTTACATACAAATTTAGATTAATTTTCTTTTAAAAGGCAAATTTAAATTAAATTAATTGTTATATTTCTACCAAAAATTAGAATATGAAAAAAAACTTATAATAAAAATTTGATAAAGTTTATAACGATTCTCTTTAATTGCATATATATAAAGATGAAATTAACTATCAAAGAAAAAAAGAAAACATGATAACAACACTTATAGATGCGTTTTCATTTATCCATCTAAAAGAATTAAAGCTTGGACTTCCTACTCTCTTTGGAATTGCTATTAAGGGGGAATTGGGTATAATTTAAAACTTAAGACAAATTTATAATTTCAACTAAACATAGTTCTTTTTTTCATAAGTTTCATGGTTATCTTTCTTGAAAGAATAGCATAAGGAACAAACCTGTGGGTCGACAAGCCAAGAAGCGCTCAAGAAGTTGTTGCAAATGTTGTAACTTCGAAAATATATGCTCAATCCTTATCTCATTGATCGATGTCGATTTGACACAAATTGCACCAGGGCTTGACTCTTCATCTTCTTCCTCACTTCCATACATGCTACGTTTCCCTCGTCGCCCTTGCATTTTGTATTCCAATCGCTCGTCAAGGTACAATGCGTAGGTACGCACAAAAGCTGAGTAGTCCCACGAGTCAGATTGCGAGGTATCTCGGAAATCTGACATGTTCAAAAGACGAGTCCCACGCCTTGTCGCAAAAAAAATCTCTTGTTCATAAGCAGGATCACCCTCCGCTAACAACCGCTGGATCAGTATTAAGGTTTTTAGTGCCACCGTCCAGTTTTTTGTCTTGTTTAGACGTTTCGAGAGGGTGTTTATGCATGCACTAACGTAGGAGCGAGAGTAGGATGTCAAATTTAGGATTTCTCTAATGTGTCTTTCCTCAGCCGGATTCACTTCATGCCTGGTTGCCTTCACAATAGCCACGTCAAGGTCTGAGAGTGAGGTGCTGCCACCGACTTTGGCTAAGCTGATACTAGTTTGATCCTTAACGACACCAATGGCTTTTCTCAACGTGCTTGGAGCCATGGAGATCGATAGATTTTGAATTAAAGAGGAGAAAACAAGATTTTTTTTTTTTTTAATGAGAAGCGACTTAAATTTCTCCTAAGTATCAATAATACAATAGGATTGTTCTTGACGCAAAGAAAGGAAGAAAAAGAAAGAAAGGGGAGAAGAAAAGACACGAGCAAAATTTCTTTTCTTTCCCTCTCTTCTCTGTGTATACCTTCTCTTCCTGTCTTCTACTTTCTACCAATCTTTTTACCTTTGCTCTTCTAAACCATGCATTGCCCCTTATTTTAGCACAGAGAAGACAAAGCCCAATGGGAGGCATTTTGCCAAATGGCATCTTTTTATTAGTAGTTGTAATGAAAATATGAGAATTTTAGGAGATTTTGTTGGTCAACAAGTTTACCAATTCAGAGCTTTTAGGACCTCTAAGAGAAATGGTACAATGGTTCAATAGCGTCATACAATCATCTCAATATAGGCTAAGGACGCTTTTTTCTCCTAATTGAAGTATGGATAGAGAAACTTCCAAGTTTTAATTAATAAAAGAGTTTAAATTTCTATAATACTAAATAACTAATTATCAATTAAATTACTATAATTACAATGCCATATGACATTATAAGGGTATAACATAATGTGTCTTAATAATTGGCTCATTTCATTTAGGGGCTCACACGTAATATTGTATGTTTTCATTTATTTAATACCATGTCATGATTGTAAATTTATAATTTTACATGGCATTTAACTATAGTATTGTTAACTTATTAATCTATAAAAGATTGAAAGTGTAGAATATTAGGGTAAGTACTAGATTTAGTCATCAACCTTTATCATAAATATGAAAAAAGATGTGGAAAAGATAATTTTAAAAAGTGTTAATAGTTCATTTTTGTTTTGTAGATTTGTTTTTGGGCTTTACTTTTCAAATGAATATACCTAACAAAATTGAATTAGACCACCAACTTGAGCCTTATATAGAAAATGAATTGTTAGGTGCTACATAGAATTGAAGAATGCTGGGGAAAATTATTTCTAACTTCAAATTGTTTCAACAATCTTTCTATCTTACAACTGCATCTCGTTAGGTCCAATGACAAGGGAACAAAGTACACAAAAGAAGTTAATAACTTTGGTCAAAGAACACATAAGAGCTAACAGGAGATTGTGAAAAGTAGTTGAAATTAGTCACTATATGAAAATGTAACAAGCATGACTTTTCATCCCAAATAACATGGACTCATTCAAGTTCACTTGTCTTGATATGTTAAAAGCATATCCTTTTGAGGAGTGCAATTATTTTAACGATACACATAGAAGCTTTTGCTTTTGTATATTAAGTGCATAAGTGGCATTAGGCTTCACAAGTTTACCATTCCTATACCTATGTGAAATTTTTCTAAAACACAATAAATTGGTAAATCCATTCTAGCCTTGACATTACATTTTATTGTTGGCTCAATACACTC